CATCTTTGTTGGTTTGAAAATGTCGCCGAAATTCAAGGACCCACACGAGTGCTGAAGGCGTTGTAGAACGCCTCTGTTTGAGTTTTCCAAATTGAGATGCCAATATGCTATTTGCACAATAAATTTAGTGTGGTTTTTAAAAAAAATGTAATATTCATGTCTAACAAACAGTCGGTGTAATTCTAACTTCATGCCTCGTCATTTTAGAAGGTAACACCGTACTAACACGTGTATGGCTTACTAAAGATGACCACTTACAGTATTAGGAATTGTATGTCGGATGTCCTGAAACGTTTAGTTGAAAATAACTAGTTTCCTGTTTTCAGAGACAAACATTGTACGTTTTATAGCAGTAACCAAGGACAAGTTCTATCTCTAACATTAGACCCAGATTTTATGTTTTCTTACACTCTTCCATTCCGACGTTTTTTTGAGTGAGTGATTGAGTATGGTTTTACGCCGCTTTTAGCAATATTCCAGCAATATCACGGCGGGGACACCAGAAATGGGCTTCACACATTGTACCCATGTCGGGAATCGAACCCGGGTCTTCGGCGTGACGAGCGAACGCTTTAACCACTAGGCTACCCGACCGCCCCGTTTTTTTGACAAGCAAACGCTCTCTTGTAATTTTGTCAGTGCCATGATAGTAATTGTGGGTTTCACTAACTTGGAAATCATTACGTCGGGCTCTCTTTCCTCACTGACACACCCTAATAAAATACATGTACTAGAAATACTGTTCCATGAAGCACTTATTCTTCTTCTCTCTCTCTTTTATAAGTGAAATATGTATATTAAAAAGGAGTAAAACAATAATTGGAAAAAATAACTGAACTCTAAACATTCAAAAAGTATGCTGAAAACCAGTGGTATTCACTAACCAACTCCAGTCGGGTGTCTCGGGTTACAGGTTATGCTGACCGCCTTCGTGGTCTCGTGGACAGAACGTCTGCCCGGAGAGCAGAAGGTCGTGGGGTCGATCCCCGGCCGCGTTATACCAGAAACGTTAAAACAATGGTAGTTGTCCGCACCCTGCCTCGCTCGGCAATAAAGGGCTAAAATGACTGGTCGGCTGGGAGTCAGTATACTGTGTCTGAGTGGGGTATTCCTGTTACACTCAGTGGGTCAGCAGTATAAAAATCGGCACCAGTACAAACAGCCACACACACACACACACGTTTTGTAAGTGCAATAATCTTGAAAGCGAACCCCATGTCACATCACACATTATTTCAACTGTTAATATAAGGTTGGAGAAAATATTATCTGTAAATTTTGCATCATAATATCATACTTCGGCTGTGATTTGATAATTTTGAAAGATGAACTCACAACGCCACAGTTCGGAGTTACAGAGGCAATGCGGCTATGCTTCATGAAGATCAATACGAAAACACATAACAAATAGAACATATACCCTTTCGTATCAAATATATCGTGACGTGTCACGGTTGACTTTTTCCCTCATGAAAATTTCAGCTTTGTCAATCACTCAATCACATTTTGACAAGAAAGCCAAACATCTACTAAATACACGACATCATCACGTGACTGTAATCGAGGACTGTCACATCCACGAACACGATACAGTCCTGTGGTATCTTCACGTGCTGCACGTGATGTCAAAACTGACACGCGCGTGAGATGACAAAGTCATGTGGTGTAATGCACGTTCTGCACGTGAGGGCTCATAATACCAGTGGTTATCGAAAGTGAGGTTATGAAAACTGACGAAAGCGTGCTGGAACACGCCACACAATACCACGCAGCCACATCACTTGATTTTGGCATCAGTGAGTGAGTGAGTGAGTTGGGTTTAACGCCGCTTTTAACAGCATTCCAGTTATATCACGGCGTGTCAGCTTAATGTGGGAGGAAAGCCCGAAGTGATGCAGGTCTCAGACGTTTACCACTTCGGTGAAACCCACGAGCAGGGGTATGGTGCTGACAAACCTAAAAACATAATCGGGGCGAACCGGGATTCGAACCCACAATCATACTTAGGTTTCTGGCGTGCCCAAGGGACGCAACTCTGCAAAGCGAATCGCGGCGACTAAGACGACTGGTATCAAAATCAAGCGATTTATATATAATAGAGACTTGCTTATTTGACAGTCTCAAACACAGGTGAAAAGAGGACAGGCAATTAATAAACATTTTACTCTTTCAGTGAAATTGCAGACCCATATCATGACGATTATCACGTTGACGATAACGACAGCGATGTATATGAAGGGATGAAATCGGTCGTGATGATGTTGATGTTGTGATGACGTTGTCAGTGATGTTGTGGCTCTACGCTATTGTGTCGCGGGCCCTGGCCGACGATGTACTGAAGTGAACTGAGATGGTTGAAGATGGTTTAAAACAATTCATTCTCTGTAATAGATATAAATAGTATCAATATTAATTGCTATTCAGTCGAGGAAGCAAGAAGGTCCTCCCTCGCCTGTGGCGTGACAAAAAGTCGGAATATATCGTCTAAATACAGTATTTTGATACGGTTACTTTGAATAGAATAGCTAAATACAATATTCGAAAGCTGTTCCTTTATATAAATTGAATGTAACAATGAATGCTTTTGGCGGCACACGTTAGGTGTGACGGAACAACATTAAAAAGTAAAATTTATACATAAATGATAGTAATTGAACTTAAACATACCTTTCACTCACAATCTTACTTACGGGATGGCGCTTTAACTTAGAGTTTGAAATAATAATCACGTGAAACGCGATGCCTTCTGACCGAGTCGGATATTCACGATTGATTACATTTATTACTTAGATTCTGCGATCGCGTTACCTATTACATTGACGAGCTTACCATAAAGAAAGCAGATAGAAAGGGTACAAACCTGTACTGTCAAATATATTTTAATCATGAGGACACGTCTACCACTCACAAACACATTCACACAGACATATCGTTCTTTAAGGTTAACACGGCGTGATGTAAAACTACAGATTATACAGCCTAAGGTGAATTTCGTTTGATAACTGTTTGTCCGTTTCATACAACAGCAGATATATAACATTCGTATGCTTCTTTTTGATTATATTCACACAGGGGTTTCCATTGATTAATTGTTTTATTATCCCAATAACAAAGAACCGCAAATGATTGATTGAGAATGTCAGCTGATTGCGCCATATCGGCGTGAATGGCAATTTGACATGAAAAGGTTGGTTGCTCCGGCAGACAGAGACAAACACCTGCGCATACCTGTGTGCACGCCGCTCTCGGGCAGAATGATAAGCATGTAATCGTATCCCAATTGCGTAGATAGATGCTCATGATTTCAATCACTGGGTTGCCTTGTCCAGACTCGATTATTTACAGACCGCCGTGATATAGCAATATCTCTGAGTGCGGCGTTAAACAACAAACAAACAAAACTGAATGATAAATCGTTTTTACCGGGAGCCTCCCAGACATGCCAGGATTCCCAAAGAGAGTGATGACAACATCCGGGTAACCCAGCTGTCCAAGGCGCGGCCTCTTGAGGTGTGTCATGAATAATTGTCCCTCGGGAAGACTAGGTCCATGTGCGGCGTTAAACATCAAACAAACAAACAAATATTATGCTTCTCATCCAGTGGGGGTTCCTGAATAGACTAGGTCCTCTCTTGGGGATTCCAGGGTAGAAAGGGTCCATGTACGTCATGCTTCTCTTCCTGTCAGGATTCCAGGTCAGACAAGCTTCGTGTACGTCATGTGTGTTTCCCAATGGGGGATTCCAGGGTAGAAAGGGTCCATATACGTCATGATCGCCTCTTGAGGATTCCAAATCAGACAAGGACCATGTATGTCATGCTTGTCTGTCTCTTGGGGGTTCCAGGTCAGACTAGGTCCATGTACGTCATGCCTGTCTGTCTCTTGGGGGTTCCAGGTCAGACTAGGTTCATGTACGTCATGCCTGTCTGTCTCTTGGGGGTTTCAAGTCAGACAAGGTCAATGTACGTCATGCTTTTCTGTCTCTTGGGGGTTCCAGGTCAGACTAGGTCAATGTACGTTATGCTTGCCTGTCTCTTGGGGGTTCCAGATCAGACTAGGTCAATGTACGTCATGTTTGCCTTTTAGGAATTCCAGGTCAGACTAAGTATATGTACGTCATGCTTGTCTGTCTCTTGGGGGTTCCAGGTCAGACTAGGTCTATGAACGTCATGTTTACCTTTTGGGGATTCCAGATCAGACTAGGTCTATGTACGTCATGCTTGCCTCTTGCAGATGCTTGTATGTGATGTTTGTCTACCAGTGGGGATTTTCAGATTCCTTCTCCGTTTCGGTTCAAGGATAAACATATGTCCCCAGTAGCCAATCCTAAGAACTTACATAAGATTGTTACCGAGTGTCACCTTGTCGATTGTGTGTCAACATACTCCGATCGTGACTCATGCTATCAACCACTGGTCTGTCGGGCACAGACCTGGTTACCTGCAGTGTCACCTGGAGCTGTATTATTGCTGACATTGATGTAAAATATCATAACAATATGTGCCATAAACGAAATTGTGTCGCGCCGTATATATTTCAGATACCAATAGATCTGGGTAGAATAGGTCTTCAGCAACCCATGCTTGCCGTATAAGGCGACTATGCTTGTCGTAAGAGGCGACTAACGGGATCGGGTGGTCAGGCTCGCTAACTTGGTTGATGCATGTCATCGTATCCCAATTGCGTGGATCGATGCTCATAATGCCAATCACTGGATTGTCTGGTCCAGATTCGATCATTTACAGACCGCCGTCATAAAGCTGGACTATTGCATAGTGCGGCGTTAAACAACAAACAAACAATGTATGTCACAGGATATAAAATGCGATAAGCAGAATTTCTGCTTGAATCATCACTTTGGGCATCCCACCTCCTTACGCACCGTGACATAACAGAAATACTGTCAAAAGCGACGTTGAAATTCACTCACTAACTCCCCGTCCGCCGTAACAGATTGTCTTAGCCACTCCCCCTTTCACTGACTCCCCCGCCTGTTCCAGGGAGTACCTGCACCATGCCTTCCAGTGAGGATGGATACCGGCGCTGACTGTAGCTACACCGACTCCACCAACGTCTACCACGAGAACAAGTGCGCAGAAGACACCATCTTCTGTTGCGTCAACGGTGACGTCAAGGTCTGCTCGTCGTCGACGTGCGGTGTCAGCGTGACGCCTACCCTCTCCACATATGCGTGAGTATGACGGCAGCGTGTACTGCCGAACCTCGCTTATCCGGATTTTCGGATACATGAAGCATTTTATGTTGCATATATCTCGTTTCACGTAAATATCGTCCGGTAGGCAAGGTTTCCGGATATCTGGGTTCCGGATAAGTGGGGTTGTGTAGGTGCAAAGAATATAATACATAGTCGGATATCTTCCTAGAACACCACAATTGAGTTTCCGGGTCAGCAATGGCCTCAGGAACTTATGCTGGCCGTACAAGGCGACTCATCTTCCCGAGGCAAGGGAGTTAACCGACATCCACCCTTGCCGAACTAAGCTGGAATTATGGAGTTATATTTATATATATGTTATTCTGATTGGTCATTAGGGGGAACATAACTCGTAATAGCCACTGGTGGCTCTACGATCGAGCCCAGAAATTCAAAATCAGTGAACTCCCTTGCCTCGGGAAGATTGGGGCGAATAACAGGATCGTGTGTTCAAGCTCGGTGACTTGACTGACTGTATGTCATCACTTTGGCGCGGGGTGTTGCGCATGGTTTCAATCACTGGTTTGTTTGGTCCAGACTCGATTGTTTACAAGCAGTCGTCAATTATGTCTTTGAATGGCATTTAGAAGTGATACACATCGTTAAGTGATTTTATGGATGTCAGCTTCTTTAGTATGAGGAACGCAACGTTTCGTAGTATATACTTACTCCTTACTGACTTCAGTACCTGTGTGCTATTTGTTATCCTTATTGTACATCTGGCTTCAGTGCCTGTGTGCTATTTGTTATCCTTACTGTACATCTGGCTTCAGTACCCGTGTGCTATTTGTTATCCTTATTGTACATCTGGCTTCTTTACCTGTGTGCTATTTGTTGTCCTTACTGTACATCTGGCTCCAGTACCCGTGTGCTATTTGTTATCCTTACTGTACATCTGGCTTCAGTACCTGTGTGCTATTTGTTATCCTTACTGTACATCTGGCTTCAGTACCTGTGTGCTATTTGTTATCCTTACTGTACATCTGGCTTCATTGCCTGTGTGCTATTTGTTATCCTTACTGTACATCTGGCTTCATTGCCTGTGTTATATTTGTTATTACTGTACATCTGGCTTCAGTTCCTGTGTGCTATTTGTTATCCTTACTCTCCATCTGGCTTCAGTACCTGTGTGCTATTTGTTATTACTGTACATCTGGCTTCAGTACCTGTGTGATATTTGTTATCCTTTCTGTACATCTGGCTTCAGTGCCTGTGTGCTATTTGTTATCTTTACTGTACATCTGGCTTCAGTACCTGTGTGCTATTTGTCATCCTTACTGTACATCTGGCTTCATTGCCTGTGTGCTATTTGTTATTGTTGTACATCCAGTTTCATCCAATTTGTGTGCTTCTTGTTATGTAATACCTGTTGCCTTAATGTTAATCAGCTGCTTATCACAACACATCCTGCATCTCATCGCCCCAGCTTCATAACGGTGTAAAAATCTACTTCGAAACGTCGCCAAATGTAATAAATCAGAAGTTGTTATCCATAAACAGTTATTTAGTGTAAGGCCGAAATAAATATTCTGTCATTTTTTAATACTTTTGGTCATTTCTCATCAGCGCGTTAGGTGCTGTCGTAAATTTTCTTGCACGATAAGAGCCAAAACAATAGCTCATTAAAATGGCTACGTCCGCAGCTATGACAAGTGCACAGTCTTTGTATCACGCTAACGAGTATAAATGTTCAACAAAATAATCAATTTCATCCTTGCATCGATTATGCCAAGACCCCAAACGACTAGGAAGGATAGGATTGTTTTCACTAATCTATTCGAAAGAAAGTAGTGTGGAAGGCATCCATTGATAAGTTACATCGACAGAGAGTTTCTAAATGAAATGCACTTATGTTCGTTTCAGCCCGTCCATGCGTGTGAGATACATTTGAATGCAATTTGAATAAAAGACCTCTTTTGATTCATGATGTTAAGTATTAACAAGGCTGAGCTGCGAAAAAAGAAGTGAGATTGATCTTATGCCAGTCATGCATATAGTTCTGCACCGAATGAATGTCGAGATGTCGAATGCAACCTAAGTGTAGTTCATGGTATAGATGCTTGTTCTGTCCCGGAATCCCACAGGGAGACAAGCATGGTGTTCTGGCATCCTGTTCTGTCCCGGAATCCCACAGGGAGACAAGCATGGTGTCCTGGCGCCCTGTTCTGTCCCGGAATCCCACAGGGAGACAAGGATGGTGTTCTGGCGTCCTGTTCTGTCCAGGAATCTCACAGGGAGACAAGGATAGTGTTCTAGGGACCTGAACTGTCCCGAACTCCCACAGGGAGACAAGCATGGTGTTCTGGCGTCCTGTTCTGTCCCGGAATCCCACAGGGAGACAAGCATGGTGTCCTGGCGCCCTGTTCTGTCCCGGAATCCCACAGGGAGACAAGGATGGTGTTCTAGGGACCTGAACTGTCCCGAACTCCCACAGGGAGACAAGCATGGTGTTTTGGCGTCCTGTTCTGTCCCGGAATCCCACAGGGAGACAAGCATGGTGTCCTGGCGCCCTGTTCTGTCCCGGAATCCCATAGGGAGACAAAGATGTTGTTCTAGGGACCTGAACTGTCCCGAACTCCCACATGGAGACAAGCATGGTTTACTGGCGTCCTGTTCTGTCCCGGAATCCCACAGGGAGACAAGCATGGTGTTCTGGCGTCCTGTTCTGTCCCGGAATCCCACAGGGAGACAAGGATGGTGTTCTGGCGTCCTGTTCTGTCCAGGATCCCACAGGGAGACAAGCATGGTATTCTGGCGTCCTGTTCTGTCCCGGAATCCCACAAGGAGACAAGCATGGTATTCTGGCGTCCTGTTCTGTCCCGGAATCCCACAAGGAGACATGCATGGTGTTCTGGCGTCCTGTTCTGTCCCGGGATCCCGACCGGGAGACAAGCATGGTTTACTGGGGCCTGTGCTGCCCAAGATTTCCCATAGGGAGACAAGCCTGGTGTTCTGGCGTCCTGTTCTGTCCCGGAATCCCACAGGGAGACAAGCATGGTGTTCCGGCGTCCTGTTCTGTCCCGGAATCCCACAGGGAGACAAGCCTGGTGTTCTGGCGTCCTGTTCTGTCCAGGAATCCCACAAGGAGACAAGCATGGTATTCTGGCGTCCTGTTCTGTCCCGGATCCCACAAGGAGACAAGAATGGTATTCTGGCGTCCTGTTCTGTCCCGGAATCCCACAAGGAGACATGCATGGTGTTCTGGCGTCCTGTTCTGTCCCGGGATCCCGACCGGGAGACAAGCATGGTTTACTGGGGCCTGTGCTGCCCAAGATTTCCCACAGGGAGACAAGCATGGTGTTCTGACGTCCTGTTCTGTCCCAGGATCCGATAGGGAGACAAGCATGGTGTTCTAGGGACCTGTTTTGTCCCGGAATCCCACAGGGAGACAAGCATGGTGTTCTGGCGTCCTGTTCTGTCCCGTTTTCCCACAGGGAGACAAGCATGGTGTTCTGGCGTCCTGTTCTGTCCCGGAATCCCACACGGAGACAAGGATGGTTAACTGGGGCCTGTGCTGCCCAAGATTTCCCATAGGGAGACAAGCCTGGTGTTCTGGCGTCCTGTTCTGTCTCGGAATCCCACAAGGAGACAAGCATGGTGCTCTGGCGTCCTGTTCTGTCCCAGAATCCCACAAGGAGACAAGCATGGTGTTCTGGCGTCCTGTTCTGTCCCGCAATCCCACAGGGAGACGAGCCTGGTGTTCTGGCGTCCTGTTCTGTCCCGGAATCCCATAGGGAGACAAGCATGGTGTTCTAGGGACCTGTTCTGTCCCGGAATTCCACAGGGAGACAAGCATGGTGTTCTGGCGTCCTGTTCTGTCCAGGAATCACACAGGGAGACAAGCATGGTGTTCTAGGGACCTGTTCTGTCCCGGAATCCCATAGGGAGACAATCTTGATGTACTGGTGTCCTGTTCTGTCCCGGAATCCCACAGTGAAACAAACGTGTGATACTCGCGACCATTTCCGACCCGGAGTCCCGATGGTGAGACAAGCATGGGTTAAAAAGGAACTATTCTGCCCCGGAATCACATGAGAAGTCAAGCATTAGGTACTTGGGACCTATTATTCTTACCCGGAATCCCCCTAGAGAAAAACATGGGTACTGGGGACATGCTCTGCTTGGGAATTCGCATGGGAAGACAAGCAATGGTAACTGTTGATCCACTAGAAGACAGGCAATGGGTACTGGGGACATAATCTGCTTGGGAATTCCAATGGGAAGACAGGGGAAGGGTGATGGGGACATAGTCTGCCTGGACATTCCCATGGGAAGACAAGCAATGGTAACTGTTGATCTATTCTGCTGGAGAAGTTCCACAAGACAAGCAATGGGTACTGGGGACATAATCTAGAATTCCCACGGTATGACAAGCGAAGGGTGCTGAGAAGATAGTCTGCCTGGGAATTCCCACGGTGAGTCAAGCAAACGGTGCTGGGGACATACTCTACTTGAGAATTCCCACGGTAAGACAAGCAAAGGGTGCTGGGGACATACTCTACTTGATAATTCCCACGGTAAGACAAGCAAAGGGTGCTGGGGACATTCTCTGCTTGAGAATTCCCACGGTAAGACAAGCAAAGGGTGCTGGGGACATAATCTACTTGATAATTCCCACGGTAAGACAAGCAAAGGGTGCTGGGGACATACTCTACTTGAGAATTCCCACGATATGTCAAGCAAAGGGTGCTGGGGACATACTCTACTTTAGAATTCCCACGGTAAGACAAGCAAAGGGTGCTGGGAAAATAGTCGGCCTGAGAATCCCCAGCGATATCCGACCAGTATGTAATACATTTCCCGTCAACGTGTATGATATAAACCACCTCACGTGATACACAGGGCCATGTAATATATTCGTTCTTAACGAGAAATACAATCCCCACTCCTCCGCAGACTCGACTTTCTATTTATTGAATATATCATAATCACTTCCCCACCAATACCTGCTAATAGTATTATGCGACCATAAATTT